GCAGTGAACTAAGATAAAAATAATTGTGTTATTTATTTTTATTATTATTGTTACATGTATTGTTATAATTCCGCAAAAGGGGACAAAATGTGAAACTCAATTCAAACTCCCTTTCTTGTGTTTCTCATCCTTCAGAGTTGTAGGGTTTTGCCTAGATCCAAAGATCCAGACCTACAAATGAGGGGTTTGCCTAAACACTGGGTATGACAAGGCAAGCATGCAAGAGGTGGCTTGCCTAAGCACTAGGTCTGATATGGCAAGCATGCATGAAATAGTTTGTCTAAGCCTGAGTCTCACAAAAAAGACATGCATGAAAAATGGTTTGTTTAAGAACTAGTTCTGATAAGACAAACTTAAAAAGAAAAAGGGAGCCTGCCTAAGGCTGAATCTCACAAGGCAGACATGTATGAGAATGAGAGGTTCGCCTAAGACTGGGTCTCACAAGGCAAACATGCATGAAAGACGGCTTGCCTAAGTCTGAGTCTCACAAGGTAAGCATACATGAAAAAGGTTTTAACCATGAGAAGGTGATTAACTCAAAGATAGGGTATGGTTCAGAGATGGGTAATTAATTAAGAGAATGTGATTAATCCATGAAGGGGTGATTAACCAAGATAAGGTGATTAGCCTCGAGAGTTGTATGGGTATTCAAAGAGTATTATGTTTGGTACAAAGAGAACGGTGTTTTTGTTGATTGTTGAAGTGTTTTCTGAAGATTGGAAGTTGAAAATTGTTTGATTTGAATTGCACTAAAGTCTATGAATGGATGTGAATACTTTGAATAATTAGGGTCTACGTTCTGTATTCAAATATATTCATAATAAAGGTAGGGGATGCTCCCTCTGATTCTTCTTCATTTCTTAAGGCTCATGGTGCACACTTCGCATCATAATTAACAAGTGTTTTGAAGTTTGAAAAGAGTTTTTGTTTTATGGAGATGAGAAGAGGTATGTTTGAAATGATGAGATGTAGTGCCAGAGAATGGGAATAGAGTCTGATGTGTTCATGTCTTGATGTTCACCTATTTCTAGGGTCTTGAAGATGAATAAAATTAGGATCGACTTAAGGGAACATGTATGGTACGAGTCTTAAGATCTAATTCAAATTAAGTAATCAAGGGACTTGTGATCACTTAATTGAATAAAAACCTAAGGGAGCATGCAAATTGTTTTGAAAGTCACTAAAGGGCCCTAAAGTCATTAATTCAATTAATTGACCAAAATAAGTTTAATCAATTCACTAAATCAAGACAAATGGGGATCATGCAAAATTTTGGTTAAGTTATATACATCAAGAACCATGAAATTATGAAGAAAAGTCAAAGAAAAAGAGAGGATCATGATTAACATCTAAATGGATATCCATGGTAAATTCCTAATGTTCAAGTATTTAATCAATTAATCAATCAAGATTAACTAATTAACCCAACTACTGTTGGGACTCCCCGACAAAATAGTTTAGTTGAAAGGTTTAATCGAACAATTCTAGAAAGGGTGAGGTGCATGTTGGTAAGTGCATGATTGAATAAGGTGTTTTGGACAAAAACTGTTGTAACTGCAGCACATTTGATGAATAGGCGTCCCTCGACAACTTTGGGAATAAAAACACCTGAAGAAGTCTGGTCGGGACATCCACCTAGTCTCGACAGACTTATAGTATTTGGTTGTTTATCATATGCTCATATTAGGCAAGACAATGTCGAACCTAGAGCTCTGAAATGCATGTTCTTTGGATACCTTGAAGGAGTCTAAGCTGGCAAGAGACAGATCGATAAGAGTCATTAAGCCACCTCAGAGACTTGGTTATGCAGATCTTATAACTTATGCCTTAACCCATGCAAGTGAGGTTCTAGATGAAGAACCTAGAGATTAAAAGAAAGTTAGGAGGATTAGAGACAAGACTAAATGGATGAAAGCCATGGATGATGAGATGAAATCTCTTCATGATAATAACACTTGGGAACTGATCAAGAAACCTGTTGGGGTCAGGTTAGTCAATTGTAAGTGGATTTTCAAGGTTAAAGAAGGAATTAAATTAGTGATGTCGAAGCGTTTTAAGGCAAGATTGATTGATAGGGCGTCAAGCAGAAAGAAGGTGTTGACTTCAATGATGTGTTCTCACCTGTTATAAAAGCATATATCCATTCGAATGTTGCTTGCTATGGTGACAAATTTCGACCTAGAACTTGAATAGATGAATATGAAAACAATCTTCATGTGTGGTGATCTAGATGAAACGTTCCCAGTGAGGCAATCTGAAGGATATGCACACAAAAAAAGGTAGATTGTGCGTGTAAGATGAATAGGTCTTTGTATGACCTAAAACAAAATAGGATATTCAACAAGTTCATGTCATATATTGGTTTCACTAGGAGCCAGTTCGACCACTGTGTATACTTTAGATTTCGGCCTGAAAATTCACATGTTACTTTGTTGCTTTATATGGATGACATCCTTATAGCAAGAAACAATGTCGAAGATGTTGTGAAGGTGAAAGTTGGACTCAATAAGAACTTCGACATGAAAGATTTTGGAGCTACCTCCAAAATTCTTGGGATTGACATCCAAAGAGATAGAAAACAATCGAGATTATGCTTATCTCAAGAGACATACCTGAAGAAGATTCTCGACAAATTTGGTATGTCGAATTCAAAGTCTGTTCTAACACCGGCTAATCCTCAATACAAGTTGAGTACGACTCAAAGTCCTAGTACCGAAGTCGAAAGAACCTATATGAATAGCATCTCATATGTTAGTATAATAGGTACTTTGATGTATGTTATGATTTGTACGAGGCAGACATAACATACAAAGTGAGCCTTGTAAGTAGGTATATGGACAATTCTGGAAAGGCATATTGGCAAGCATTAAAGTGGATTCTTAGGTACATTAATGGGTCTCTGAGAAGAGTTCTGATTTATGATGGAGCCTGTGGTGATGATAGAAAAGTCGAAATCGAAAGATTTGTTGACTCTGATTATGCAAGTTGTATGGATTTCATAAAATCTATTTTTGAATATTTGTTCACTATGTTTGGCACAACAATCAGTTGAAAAACAACACTTCATAAGGTTGTTGTCTTATCAACCACTAAAGTGTAGTATATCGTCTTCAATGAAGCTGTGAAAGAAGCATTGTGGCTTGAAGATTTTGCTAAGGAGCTGAAACTTCAAGGTCGACTTATCATTGTTAAATGTGATAGTCAAAGTGCAATACACATGTCGAGGAATTCAGCCTATTATGAGCAAACCAAGCACATCGATGTGAGGCTTCACTTCATCAGAGAGATAATTGAAAAGTCCAAGTGTTGAAGGTTTGGAATGATGACAATATTGTTGATATTATCACCAAGACATCACCAAGTAGCAAATTTTTCACTGTATGTAATTGATAAAGCTGCATGATGAAAGCCAATTTGTTCCATTGTTATAGAGTTTGTTTTAAGGTGGAGATTTGTGGTATTTGGATCGAACTCTAGTGTCGACAAGGATATCTTCATGGATCGACAGGAGTTGTGTATGTTGTAATCGAAGTATGTTCGAGCATACTATTGAAATATGTTAACTTGTAATTTAAGCTAGTATGTCGAATTGACCCTTGCTTGTAAGCTCAATTGTTTAAGTTTGCTTGCTATTCAAGTTAGCTTAGTAGTCTATAAATAAACTAGTTCTTTTAGGTTGTTGAGAGAAGTTAATTGTTGGTATTCACGTGTAATCTTTGAACCTTTATTGAGAAAGTGGATAGTAATACAAATTTAATCAATTCTTTTTCTTCCTTCTCCATCATTTGTAAAACTTAATATAGTTTCTTGTGTTTATTCGAAAAACTCAATCTTCATCTCATAACTTTGTTTTATTTTTGACAACATTATTTCACAACAAATATAAGTGACAAGTAATATAGCTTACCATGTTTATGTACACCATGTTAAGATATACGTTTATTTCCTTCTTTATTTTAGTTTTATTTTATGAAAGTTGTGTATTAACCATATGATATACAACAAAGAAATTAATAAACTCCACACTAATCTTAAAAAAATGTTACTTTGATGGGCTTAAAAATCAACATTCCAAGATTTGTCTTTACTTAAACCAAAATTACAGCTAATTAACATGAAATATAAATGTAATGCTTAACTGATGAAATCGTAAGGTCATAATATTAAAATATAAAATGCAGATAGTAAAAGTTTGTGTTAAATATTATACCTGAACTGATATAATGAGAATTTATAAACCGTGATAAAATATTAGTCAATATTTTGAATTTATAAACCTATATTGAAATCCAAAATATAATTTGAGATATAAAAAATCATCAAACGAAGTTTTAATTGGCTAAATCACTCCAACAAAATAAAGTAGGGTGTAATTAGAAACGAGTCCAAGATAACACCGTTATATAGCGTCAAACCAAAGCCCCCAGTCTTTCTCTTTCATTTTATTTTTCTTTTTATGAATTTCTCTTTCAAATCAAAACCTACCAGAAAATCAAAAGCACCCTCGTTGTTGTATTGGCTTTGATTTTCAACTTTGCGGTAACCATCTCTGTAACTGTCTAAAACCATCGACGGAACCTTCAACCTCCTCACAGGTAACCCTAACAATTCTTTTTTCCGTTCAGTTTCGCGCTGTTACTGCTTTCTATTTAAAATCATTATCATTATTACTATTATGCTTTCAAATTCGATGCATTGTTGAAACCATGATAATGTGTATTGGAATCATTAATTTGAAATCCCTTAACATAATCACTTATTCTGTTTAAGCTGTTTCAATAAGCTGATCCAAACAGTTCTTTAGTTCTCTTAGGGTTAGTTAATTAGTTAAATTAGATTTGTTTGTTTGTTAAGTCAGTTAGTTACTCTGCAAATTCAGTTTCATTATAATGTCGGGATTGTGTACGGATTCGAGGTTCTAGGATGCAAATTCCTCTGAATCTTGATTTAAATCAATAGTAATTGTGTTTTGTTTTCATGGATGCAGTGGGGTGTGTTCTATGGCAGATAATGAGGAGGAGTTGTCGATGCCGATGCCGAGGGATGCAAAGATTATCGAGTCTTTGTTGAAATCGATGGGTGTAGAAGAATATGAACCTCGTGTTATTCACAAGTTTCTTGAGCTATGGTATCGGTATGTTGTTGATGTGCTAACAGATGCTCAAGTGTATTCAGAGCATGCTAGCAAGTCTGCAATTGATGTTGATGATGTTAAGCTTGCCATTCAATCACAGGCTAACTTCAGCTTCTCGCAACCACCCCCTCGTGAGGTAATATTTTTTATAATCTAAGCAGCACAAATACTACTAGGGGTAGATGTCCAACACACGTCGATGTACGACACTTGTATGACACTCGTACAATACGTGTCAGAAAAGTCAGACAAATGTCCTTAAAATTTTTTTTTTTTGTTGCTTAGACACTATTTGAATCAGGATCCGATACCTATATGACACTCTTTCAACACGTGTTGGACAATTCAGACACAATTTTTTTTCTTTGCTTCAACCTACCTTATACAACTCTTGGACATGTAATGAACCAATATTATCAATGAAGAACTAAAGCTTAAATACTATCATATGATGCAATGTCACGGTCCTATGTTTTTGATATTATTGGTGCCAAAGTATCCGTGTCCCAGTGTCTATGTCGGAGTCTATGATTCATAGTTCATAATTCAGTGTTTGCCAATTTTCGTATCTGAAGGTTCAATTTTGCTTCATGTCAGTCAATCAACAACAAGCATAAGCATTGTTGTTTAAGGATGACCCGTTTATCTGAAATCTAGAGTCTATACTATACCACCACTTGTGTAAAACCCATCAAAGGACCAAGTGTGTCTAATTTGTTTGATCCAATATTGTCAATCGCAGATTGCGTAAAATAGTAATGTGTTCGGATTCCACTACGGCACACTGCTATAGTGTTGCTACAGCCATTATTTGACAATATTTTGTACTAAACAGTGTATCATAGGACAATAGCAGTTTGTTCAAATTCTGCTTTGCTAGAGTTGCTTTAGCTGCTATTTAACGACACTGCCTTGAGCCCCGCCTGGGTGTTACAATTTGTTTATCAAGTTATCTTACCGTATTTGCTTAGCAGATGCATGTAAAGATGATGATATGTTGAATGTAATCACTTCAGGTGCTTCTGGAGCTAGCTAAAATCCGCAACAAGATACCATTACCAAAATCTCTAGCACCTGGTGTTCCACTTCCGCCTGATCAGGACACATTAATCAGTCCCAACTACCAGTTTGCATTTCCAAACAAAAGGTCTGCTGAACCTATAGAAGAAACCGAGGAGGAAGAAGCTGCCAACGCCGATCCCAACCCGTCCTCCCAAGAAGAAAAGACAGATACTCAACAAAATCCAAGTCAAAGAGTATCGTTTCCTTTGCCTAAACGCCAAAAGGATTGAATTCAATTCCCATATTTCTCCTAACCGATATGTAACAAAAGGCAGATTTTATAGTACATCGATCACCAGCGCAGCAATATATTGCCGATAAGACTATATAGATAAATTGTTATTGTGAAGTGATTCAACATTCTGAATTTACAAAATTGTAATTGATGCATATAGTATGTACTATTGGTTTTGATGGGCAATAATTTGTGTGATATAATAATTCCGTCTCATGTATTAATGATTGGAGATTGATTGGCAAAGAGGACTCCCTATTGGGGACCCTTTACCACTAAGCCATCCCCTAGAAGATAGGAGTCCCCTACTACTTGCTTGAGTGACCAAACACATCTCTACTAAAACTGCTTCTATGGTGGGGAATGGGGGACGTAAATGGGTATTTATGAGAGGATAGTATAATATCTATGTTAATTTGGTAGATAAATATGATATTTGTGTTTGTTTCATATTTGTGCGGATATTTATTAAATGGATAATTTGCAAGTTTTAAGATTCACACATGGATAATATTTTTTTCTTAAATTATTATTATTATTTTAAAAATCCAGTTTATTTTGAAGACACAATTATTATCACATAATATTTATATAATACACTCTAAATTCAAAAACAAAATTTTATATATTAATTTTCATTTTTTTATCAAAGCATAATAATATTCAAATATAATATTTGTATATTTCTTTTTTAATAAAAAAGAAAAAAAAATGTAATTGTGAGTTATGATAAAAAAACGAACACGAAAATCATATGTTGGACGGAGAAAGGGCAATATTGATTGGTTAAATGGTAAAATTATTTAAGTGAGGTCTATAATACACTAATACATTAATGATTTTTAAATAATTTAAAAATCATTAATGAATCCGATACAATACCATGATTAATGAGTTTTATAATTTATTATCAGAAACGAGTATCAGCAAAGCATCTATTGAAAAACCTGTATTAATTGATATCCATTTAGTTTATTTGTATATATTTATTAAACTAGCCATCTCTTGTGGGGGAAGTGTTGCATTGTAATTTTTCATTTTTGAAAATCATTCAAAACTTATACTTAAAGAGATACCATAGCGGAAGTTTTGAAGGATTTTGAAGTTCTGGTCCATTTTATATACGCATGACACGTGTCTGTTATAATGGTGATGACCCTCTAAATATAAAACATGTCTTTATGGAAGGAAGCACATTGAAAATTGAAAGCACATAGTAGTGTGACAGCACTAAAACCCATAAAATTAAACAAAGATTAAAAGAAGTAATAACATATGAAACGTGATATATGTATTATGGATTGGGAAACAGGGAGGAACTTTCTGGCACATAGTATCATGCTAATTTATCTGAATTTACTTTAATCAGCTACTATAGGAATATAATAATCCATATTGATTAATCTACTGCATGGAAAAAAGCATACCTATCTCTAATTAGCATAGTCAACCAACAAATTTAAATTACACAAAACTATGTTTAATTGGTCGTAGACTAGCTCTCATATAAATAACTTCTACTTGGAGTATATTTTTAACACAAATGTTAATATGTGCTATTAATATTTGTTGTACCATATTAATTTTGTATTGTGGTAAAAGTATAAATTTTGTATTAAATTTGTTGTAAAATTAAAATGATATTTTAAAATATAATATTTATTTATTTAATTATTTAACAATATAGTAGTACCATAATTTTAAATGCATGAGTTAGTCAATTATTGTTGTCTTGGATAAACCTAATTGTACAACTCATCAACATATTCAGCGTACCTTTCAAAACATTTGTCTTCCATCATGTGATTGTTTAGCTGCATAAATCATAATGTTTTTTTTATCCCACTCTAACATACGTGTATGTTCTAAGATCATGTTGATCAAACTAAAAATAAAATATTTTTTTATTTTTTTTAAATTAAGAGTTAAATATAATTGTAATCTTTTTAGCTATTAAGAACTTCACTTTTAGTTATTCAATTTTGTTGGAAATTCACCTCATACCCATGATAGTAATGGTAATAACAAGTAATTATCAAGAACAACAAAAGAAAAGAAGAACAAACAAGAAAGAGAAGAATCAGAGAAGAAGTATTTTGAGAGAATGTGTTACCCACAACTGTGGAATTTCTTATTGAACTTTCACTTGCTAACTGCAACTGTGAAATCTGTTCTGTTGTGATGTTTTTGAATACAAAGCAAGGCACCCTATTTATAGTTTTAGATTTACAAAAGCCCAAAACATAAAAGGTCCAAAATATTCAAATCAAATCTAATCATATCAAATCAAATCAAAACAATGAATTACATTTAACACACCACCTAATTCATTGTGTCTAAACTATCTACATTCATCATGGCTCTTAGTCTTCTGAAGGCTTCGACCTGCACTCCCTTCGTCATGATATCTGCAATCTGATTCTCAGTTCTGCAGTGTTCCAACTTCATCTTCCCTTCTGCTACCTGCTCTCGAAGATAATGTAACCTCATTTCGATGTGCTTGCTTCGACCATGAGCTATTGGATTCTTCGCCAAGTTGATAGCTGACATGCTGTCTATCTTCATGGTAATTGCTCCATGATTGTTCCCTGTGATTTCTTCGACCAAGTTCACCATCCAAGTTGCTTGACATGCACAAAGAGAAGCAGCTATATATTCTGCTTCGCATGATGACAATGCCACTACTGGTTCCTTTCTCGAATTCCAAGCAACTGGTGCACCACCTAACATAAACACATAACCAGCTGTGGATTTTCGATCCTCAACATCACTACACCAACTGGAGTCTGTGTATCCCACTAACTTGCATTTTTTTTCCTTCATCAGCTGTTGGAAACAAAATACCATAGTCGAGAGTTCCTTTCAGATACCTCAGTATCCTCTTCGCCGCTGCTAGGTGTGATACCTTTGCCTTCTGCATGAATCTAGTTACCATACCAATATTGTATGCTAAGTCAGACCTTGTGTGACAAAGGTATCTAAGTGACCCAATAAGTCTTCTGTATTGGGTTGGGTCGACATCATCTTCATCTGAATCTTTCGACAGTTGCAATTTGGGCTCAGCTGGAGTCGAAGTTTTGTTGCAACCTTGCATCTCAAATCTCTTGAGTATTTCGTCTGCATATCTTCTTTGATTCATCATCAAACCTCTACTTGTCTTGTAGAATTCGATGCCAAGGAAATATGAGAGATTTCCCAAGTCTGACATTTCAAACTCCTCACTCAGGTCATGTTTGAAATCTTCGATCTCCTTCTTGCAACTCCCTGTTATCAACAAATCATCAACATAGAGACATAGTATAAGCAATTCGCCATTGCTTCTTCTTACATATACTTCATGATCAGTTGTACACTTCACAAATTCCTTCTCCCTTAAAAAGCTGTCGATTTTCTTATTCCAAGCTCTTGGAGCTTGCTTAAGTCCATACAGGGCTTTATGAAGCCTGTACACCTTTCTTTCTTCGCCTTGTTTCACAAACCCAGCTGGTTGTGCAACATAAACTTCTTCGTCTAAGGGGCCATTAAAGAATGCACACTTCACGTCCATCTGACATGTGTGCCAGTTGTTCATATTTGCTAGACCAACAACCAACCTGATTGTTTCGATTCTAGTAATAGGTGCAAATACTTCATCGAAGTCGATTCCTTCCTTCTGAAGAAATCCTTTCGCCACAAGTCTCGTCTTGTGTCGAGTTACTTCTCCTTTAGGATTTACCTTCACCTTGTAAACCCACTTCACATCAATTGCCTTCTTGCCTTGCGGTAATTCGACAAGCGACCAGGTATCATTGACTTCGATGGACTCCAACTCTTCAATCATTGCTTTCATCCACTTCGAATCTTTCAATGCCTCAGCTGCATTGACTGGTTCGACATCTGCGTAGAAAACATAATGTACCAGCTCACCATCTTCATCGACTACATCATCTGATGTAATTACACATTCTTGCAACCTTGCAGGCATGTGTCTTGTTCGTCGAGGTCTACTTGAACCTGCTTCATCTGCAACTGGTTCCTGTCGAACTTCTATTTCGACTTCAGTGGCTAGTTCTTCACAAGAGATTCTCATTGAATCCTTCTTAGCATTCTCAGTCCAATCCCATTCTTTAAGCTCATCTATGATCACATCCCTGCTGATCACTACCTGCTTATTCACTGGGCCGAACAGCTTGTAACCTCCTGTCGAATGATATCCTATCAAGATCATCTGATTCGACTTATCATCAAGCTTCCTTCTCAACTGATCTGGCACATGTCTATGTGCTATAGATCCAAACACCTTCAAGTGACTGAGACTAGGCTTGACACCAGACCAACATTCTTCTGGTGAGATTCCTTCAAGCTTCTTCGTCGGACATCTGTTCAATATATATGTTGCTGTCGAAACTGCTTCTCCCCATAATTCTTTAGGTAGATGCTTCCCATTCAACATACTTCTCACCATATTCATGATGGTTCTGTTCTTGCGTTCTGCAATCCCATTTTGCTGTGGAGTGTAAGGTGGCACCACCTCATGCACAATCCCTTCTTTTACACATAGTGTATCGAACTCTTTCGATACATACTCTCCACCACCATCAGTCCTCAGAATTTTCAGCTTTCGACCACTCTGTCTTTCGACCATGGACTTGAATCTGGAAAATACCTCAATCACATAACTTTTCTTCTTGATGAGGTAAGTCCACAGCTTTCTACTGTAGTCATCTATAAACGTGACAAAGTATCTATTGCCACCAATCGAATCCACCTGGATTGGACCACATACATCAGAGTATATGACTTCAAGTATTGCCTTCGACTTCCTTCCTGCATCCTTGCTGAAGTTATTCTTGTGTTGTTTCGACTGAACACACTCCTCACAGACTTCACTTGGAATGTCGATTTCTGGTAATCCTGAAACCATATTTCTTCTCTTCAGTTCTCTGATGTCATTAAAGTTAAGATTACCTAGTCGAAAATGCCATAACCACTCATCTCTGCTGGCTGCAGTTGCTA